GCCGAGCAGGCGCTGGACCCCGGCAGCGCGTCCTGGGCGCAGGGAGGGACCGCACCGGATTTCATGGCGCTCGGAAGCCTGTGCGAGTGAAACAGGAGTTTCAGACAAGCCTTGCTTTCATCCCTTCGCCATATTTCTCTCTTCTGGAGGTAACCAGTTTGATAGTTTGTAGTTCATCCTTTCAGTGATTCTTTTGGAATGATAAGCAGACAGACACACACACCTGACCTGACTCATTGCTAAGCTTTGTCGGGAAGCCTTTTTTTCTGCCCTGAGCCATTTCCTGGAGTTCAACATGCCTTGTCTCACACGTACATCTTGGATTTTGTTTTTAAGAAATTTTTTGGAATAAGCTTCCTCTGCACACTTCCTTTTTTATCTCCTCCCGCCCCCGCACCGTCTCCGATGATTCCTTAGATCCCCTTGTTCTCACAGGCCCACGGCGCTGGTGGGCCACTGGAGCTCGGAGCCTGGGAAGGGGCTCAGACTCCACTCCAGGGAGGTGCTCCCAGTTGGGGATGAACAGTTACTGGTGACGTTGGCGATCTGCAGGGTGTGGCCCATCACGAATCTTCCCTCATTTCCCACATTTCCTCTGCGGGGAGCTGCCCTCTGCATTTGGGTCACATCTGCCTGTCTCCCAGGTTTGTGAGGCCTGTCCCCTAGGTTTTGTGTGTGATAGATGTCTGGGCTTTTGCTTTTACTATTCTGGTAGGTCTCCTATTTCTATTGGGAGTTTTGGGGGAGATTAAATAACCCCACTGGTACTGACCTCACCCTACTCTCAGTGGCTTAACTACAAAGAGGAACAATCAGTGGGAGAGGTTAAGTGAATTTGTTCATGGACATAGAAATAGTGAGAGAAGGAGCTCTAACTGAAACCGGCTCTTCAGTCAGAACCTACTGCTGGTGTAAGCTGCTAAACAGGGTTTTCTTCTGAGCACCTGGCGTCAGTTCTTACGTAAGTGGCTGCCCGAAGGGGTGGAACTCTCAGGTGCTCATCGTGCTTGTGGGGTTCCTGGGGCCTTTGTAGTCTGGGGTGGGGGGACTGTCGTCATTGTGTTGGGTTTCCCATTTTAATTTCTCTGGCTTCTGCCCCTCAGCAGCCCTGACCGCAGTCTGCAGAGCACCCAGCCTGACCTGCAAACATGTTTTGCTGGGGCCCATAGGATACGTGCTCCCTAAAGTGGTTTGCTCTTGAGTCCACAGGTCCCACCCCTGCAGGATGGCGACAGTTCAGGCAATAGGGTCCGAAAGCGCAAAGGTCAGGCTCCCATTGTGGGTCTGGGGACCCCTGACCAGAGGCCTCTCCCTGGAGGACCCCAGCAGAGGCACAAGAGCCACAGGACAGAGCAGACCCTCGAGTGGCGGTTTATTTCCCAGGAACAGCGGGAAACCACAGAGTTCCAGGTGAGTTGCTTGTTTATAGATTCCGACTTCTTTATTTCATTCATTTATTTACTTTTTTGCTGGGGAGGGGGATGTGATTCTTAACTTCAAGGGTTAAGTTAATCACTCCTCAGTTCGTGGCCTGCTTATCATTCCAGTTCCTATCTACCTTTATTTACAGATTTCCTGATTTCTCCATATTCAGTTTCCATCTTTTTCACCCCCTAACATTATTTTTAATTGACATTCTTTTGTTGATGTGTTTATAACATGTGCATTATTATTGCTGTGAATGTCTTTCCATTTCACGTCGGCGTGTGCATGCATACCTTGCTGCGGTGCTTGTATTTGTCAGCGAACGCTTGTTCATGAGGCACCTATGCTCCTGTGTTCGTCTACTCGGCTGCTGGCAGCAGGGTTGGTGCGTCCATGTGCCTCACACACCCAGCAGCACCGACTTTGTCTTTAGAAAGTGTGATTATAATATGTCTCCATGGGTTTTGTAGTCTTTGGAGTCCTTTGGCATTGTCAGGTGTTTTTTCTTTTTAATTTTAGCCATTCTAATAGGTGTGTAATGGTATCTCGTTGTTTTAACGTGTAATTTCTTAATGGTAATATGATGTTGAGCATTTTAATATGCTTATTTCCCATTCATGTGTTTTCATCTTCAGATCTTTCGCCCCACAGACTGGCCACTACTTAGAGCTCTCGCCTTTTGATTCCCCTGAGTTACTAAGGTACCTTCTCTCACAGTGGTCACTTCTGTAGAGCCCTTCCCGTGACTCCCCCAGACATTTATAAGCAGCATTGCTCTCCTCTTCCTCTGTGCCCATCCTGTACTCTCTATTTTATTTACGCCCTGTTTTATTTGTATGTATTTAACTCTGCACTGCTGAATGCTTCTTGCAAGCAGGACTGTATATCAAAGGCACCTAGTTGAATAGCTAGCACCTACAGGCCAGTAACTGTTGCAGAAGTAGAGTGACCAACCATCCATGTTTGTTTCAGCTTCTTTGACTCCCAGTTGCATTTATATACGTTCACCTTTGATTTCCTAAGCATTGCCGAGCAGTTGTGGGCAGGACTCTGTTTGCACACTGTGACATCACCTGCAGCTCAGTAAGGACCTGGCACCTGATATTGTCATGTCTTGAGTGAAAGGCTGACTAATATAGTGCATATTGATGAGGAGGTTTTCAATAATTTTTTACTCTTGTCACAAAGTGAAATGTAATTCATGAAATCTCTAGGTAAGCAGTCTGTTGTTTCCCCCAAACTCAGTCAGATCATCTGAGATTGTAGGGAACCTGGTGTTTCAGAGGCCGCTGTCGTTCCTGGACGTGTGTGTGCACTTTACCTGGGAAGAGATGCAGCTGCTGGACCCCGCGCAGAAGCACCTGCACAGGAGTGTGATGTTGGAGAATTACAGCAACCTGGTGTCTGTGGGTAAGTGCTGCCGCCCTGAGAGGAATGTGTGTGGTCTCCAGGCTACTTCTTTGTCGCTGAAAGCTGGGAAGTGGGGAGTGGGGCTTTTGTAAAGACGTAGTGATTTTAAACTTCTGGTCAGAGGCCAGGTTTTCTTCGTCTCCCTTTGTCATCAGATGATGCTAGTGGAATGTCTTTATTTAGCCAAAGTACAAAAGGGCCGCTTCCTCATGCTGCCTCTTAACTGAACCGTCCCCTCCTTCAGCATCCCTGAATCCTGGTGGCTTCGGTCTAAATTGTCTGATTCTCCATTCGCAGGGTATCAACACACCAAACCTGACATCATCCTCCAGTTGGAACAAGAAGAGCTGCGTGTGGTGCAGGACCGAATTCTAAGCCACAGCCATCCAGGTGAGCGATCAGGACATTTAGATTTTTGCATTTTTATTTGGAATTGGTGTGAATTCTGAAGTGATGTGCACCTCATGTTTGTGCTTCTTGTCTCAGCTGTACCCATTCTCTCATACTTACTCTCCTCTCTGTCTTTCTCAGTCTTCCTGCTTTCCCATCTAGCAGACACACTTCTTTATGCATCTAAGCAGCTTCTCCTTGATATAACTTGATATAATGTTCACATCCCTTCTCCTTCCTTTCTTTTTTTAAAATGTATTTTAAAATCCCTTAAGCTTATCTTCCACAGCAGTCCCAACTTCCTTCTCCCTGCAACCACCCCTCCATGCTTCTCCATGCTGATCACTGATGTTACCACTGTCCTTGCCAAGTGCATTTCTGCATCAGTTGATAGTGTCCGTTTTCCCGCCTGCAGCCTTCCCCCCCTGTACCCCCTGCACCCACTGTCACAATGCACAGCGATGGGATGATTCTCCTCATACTTCATGGACTTCTCTTTCTGTTCCTTCCTAGTCCAAAGGGGTATTTTTTTTTAGATTCATCACTTTCCTCATATAGTGTAACTATAAAAAGACTTCTGTTCTAAAGACTTAAGCTCTTTATTCTCTTTTGGTGATGACAGTTCATCCCTCTTTCATCTGCCCTTCAGTACTGGGTGTGCTTGGTCCACAGGGCATCCTCCTGCCAGTGCCACTCCCTTATCTCGTTTTTAGAAACTAGAATTGTCTCTCCCACTGCCCGCAGCCACATCCCACGTCTCCCACGCGTCTGACTGTTGCTGGTGCGTTCGGCTACGCTTCTGGCTCTTCCTGGTGCTGGGAGTCCGCTTCCTCCTGCACGTGCAGTTCTCCTCACTGGTTTTACTAGGTCTCTTAGTACTTTGGTCCTTTAAAGAAGAGGTCCCCCATGTTTTCACTTTACACCCACAAGGCCAACATTGTTTCATTTCTTGTATTTTTTTTTACTGATTAGTCAAGTTTATTCAATTATCCTTTTTATGTTATTTATTTTTTTGTTTGTTTGTTAATCTCCACCCCAGGATATTTTTTCCATTGATGATTTTTAGAGTGGAACGGAGGGAGAGGGGTGATAGAGACACACACACATTGGTAGGTTGCCTCGTGCACATGCCCCGACTGGGCTAGAGATCTAACCTGCAACCCAGGTATGTGTCCTTGACTGAGAATTGCACCAGCGACACTTCAGTGCATGGGCTAAAATTCTAACCACTGAGCACACTAGCCAGGGCTATGTGAATTCTTTTGTTGTTGTTGTTAATCCTCACCCATAGATATTTTTATTCTCTTTTAAAAAAAATTTTTTTTTATTGATTTGAGAGAGGAAGGGAGAGGGAGAGAGAATCACCGATTGGCTGCACGCCTGTTGGGTGCACAGGTCCTTTATCCTGCTCGACTACGCCAACTGTTGGATCCGAGCCCCTCTTCCAGGAACTGGACCTCTTCGGACACCAGTCATTTGACAGAGAAGCCATGAGAAGTTGTGGGTATAAGGGATTCTATATTGTAGCCCAAGTAGCATTGCTACTGTAGGAGCCATTAGACAAAACAGTTCTTCAAAGCAAAGTCCCATACAGTAGCCGCACACTGGCTGGGTCACAATACATCTTTCCCACACAGCAGCAGCAGCCTCCAACATAGGAGCTATACGGGAGCCTCACACAGCAGCCATTATTAGAGCAACAGCCTCCCCAAGTGGCTGTACACTGGCTGGTCAGTAACGTACTTTATACTAAGTTGGACAAAAGAGGCTTCTTTCTAAATAGTGACACCACTATTTTGGGTTGTAGAATGGCATGCTTGCTCAGTGTACATAGTCACAGTATTGTGTCCTTGCTCTTGCACCTGCATATAGCAACTTATCTTTGAGCACTCCAGTTAGGATTTCCACGCTCAGATTAGTCTTGAACATCCGGCATACTCTGGACAGGGTTCCCACAACACCCCACACTGGGGATCGAGCCTGAAACCTGGACATGTGCCCTTACTGGGAATCGAACCATGATCTCCTTGTTCATAGGTCAAAGTTCAAACACTGAGCCACACCAGCAGGGTGAGGACATGTTTTTTTTGTTTTTTGTGTTTTTTAAAAATATATTTTATTGTTTTTTTTTTATAGAGAAGAAGGGAGAGTGATAGAGAGTTAGAAACATTGATCAGCTGCCTCCTGCATGCCCCTTACTGGGGATGTGCCCACAACCAAGGTATATGCCCTTGACCGGAATCGAACCTGTGACCCTTCAGTCCGCAGGCTGACGCTCTATCCACTGAGTCAAACTGGTTAGGGCAAGACATGCTTTAATTGGTTTTAGAGAAAGAGGAAGGGAAAGAGAGACGGAGAAACATCAATATGAGAATGATACATCAACCGGTTGCCTCTCACATGTGCCTGACTGGGGATCGAACCTGCAACCTGGGTATGTGCCCTGACCGGGAATCCAACCTGAGACCTTTCAGCATATAAGGATGACACTCCATTCAATCAAGCCACACTGGCTGCAGCTTTTTGTTTGTTTGTTTTTCTGGGATGAGAGCTTGTACTAGCTTTTTCCTGTGCTCGCTGTTCTGAAACATCATGATGATGCTTCTTGTGTGCTTATTTTCTTAAATTTGCATATTTATTGGAACTTTAGTCACAAGAAGACTGTAAACTAGTTGCAATGTTTTCTGCTTCTTCTCCTGAGCTTTCTAGTGTTGTAAGTATGCAACTATTGTTTATTAAACTAGAGACCTGATGCTGAAATTCATGCAAGAGTAGGCTTTCCTTCCCCCGGCTGCCGGCACTGGCTTCCCTCTGGCACCCGGGACCCAGACTTCCCTCACAGCCCTGGCGTCATCCAGAAAGTCGTCTAGAAGGTTGTCCAGAAGGATGTCTGGTCTAATTAGCATATCAAGCTTTTATTATTATTGATCATTCTAATGATTAGAGATTTCATCTATTCTCTTTATGTTTTGCTCATTTTTCCTTTTGCCTTTTTTGGCTTGTTTACCCACTGCGCAAACCTTTTAAACTGAAAACAATCTTTAATTATTTTCAGTTGCCTATTCCTGTCTTTATTTTTAGTTTTCCTTTGTTTTCCCCAGTGCCCAGGAGTTTGGGGATATTTACACTTCATATTTTACTTAGTTTCTGTTGCAATATCTGAAACTAAAACAATAACCTGATGGGCATGGCACTTTAAGGCAATTTTATGCTATACCATGGTCATGTTTTTATTTATAACACTAGAGGCCCGTTGCACGAAGATTCTCGCAATAGGCCTTCCTTCCCCTGGCTGCCGGCACCAGTTTTCCTCCGGCACCCAGGACCCAGGCCTTTGGTCTGGCTGCAGCGGAGAAGCCAAGTCTCGAGGCTAGGCTTCTCTTCTGCGGCTGCAGCGGAGAAACCAAGCCTCTTCAGTCTTTAAGTCATCTTCAGTCTTCGCTCCGTGCCTGTGTATGCAAAGTAACCGCCATCTTTGTTGGGTTAATTTGCATACTCATTCTGATTGGCTTTTGGGCATAGTGGAGTGATGACCAATTTACATATTTCTCTCTTATTAATGTAGATATTTTTATTTCTAGACAAAGTATGGGAGTTTGATAATCACATGGAATGGTATCAGGAAAATCAAGGCAAGCTGGGAAATATGGCAAAATACTATGACTGTACTGCCTTTGGGAAACTATGTCTTCTTACTACAAATTGTGGTTTTTTAAGACAAAATCTTTATAAATTTGGCACACATGGGAAGAGTTTGAAATATAATATAGACTTCAGTATTAATTATGCTGGAAAGAATCCTAATGGGTTTTATGCACAAAGGGAATCAACCCTCCATTCTGAACATGAACAGACTCTTCTTGGAATAAAATACTGTGAAAGTAATGAACCTGGAAAATTTGTCAACAAAAAGTCACAACTCATGTGCCCACAAATCTATGTGGAAGGTAAATCCTTTGAATTCAGTTACTGTGGGAAGGTCTTCAGTAGCAAGTCATACCTTGTAGTGCATCAGCAAACTCATGCAGAGGAGAGGGCTTACAAGGGTGATGTATGTGAGAAAGACTTCAGCAGTAAGTCCTACCTCATTCAATATCAGCAAAATCATACAGGAGAGAAATCACATGAATGTAATGAATGTGGGAAAACTTTCCGGTTCAATTCACAATTTGCTATACATCAGAGAGTTCACACAGGTGAGAATCATCATGAATGCTGTGCATGTGGAAACGTCTTCAGTAGGAAAGACCAGCTTGTTTCACACCAGAGAACTCATTCAGCACAGAAACCTTATGGTTGTAATGACTGTGGGAAAGCTTTTGGGTTGAACTCACAGCTCATTATACACCAAAGAATTCATACAGGAGAGAAACCCTATGAATGCAGTGAATGTCAGAAAGCCTTTCATACAAAGTCAAACCTTCCGGTACATCAGAGAACCCATACAGGGGAGAAACCTTATGGTTGTAGTGAGTGTGGGAAAGCCTTTACTTTCAAATCACAGCTCATTGTCCATCAGGGGCTTCACACAGGAGTAAAGCCCCATGGGTGCATTCAGGGTGGGAAAGCTTTCAGCTTGAAGTCACAGCTTATTGTACATCAGAGAAGTCACACAGTAATTAAACCTTATGTGTGCAATGAATGTGACAAAGCTTTTAGGAGCAAGTCATACCTCATTATACATATGAAGTCTCATACAGGAGAGAAACGTCATGAATGCAGTGAATGTGGGAAATCCTTCAGTTTCAATTCACAACTCATTATACATCAGAGGATCCACACAGGAGAGAGCCTGTGTGAATGCCACAAATGTGGGAAAGTTTTTAATCGTAAGTATCAGCTCATTTCACACCGTAGAACTCATGCAGGGGAGAAGCCTTATGAATGCAATCTGTGGAAAAACTTTTGGTTTGAAGTCACAGCTCATTATACATCAAAGAATTCATACAGGAGAGAATCCCTTTGAATGCAGTGACTGTCTGAAGGCCTTTAATACAAAGTCAAACCTTATTGTACATCAGAGAACCCATACAGGGTAGAAGCCCTATGGTTGTAGTGAATGTGGGAAAATCTTTACTTTCAAGTCACAACTTACTGTACATCAGGGAACACACACTGGGGTAAAACCATATGGATGTAACCAGTGTGGGAAAGCCTTTAGTTTGAAGTCACAACTCATTGTACACAAGAGAAGTCACACAGATGTGAAACCCTATGGATGCAGTGAATGTGGTAAAGCTTTCAAGAGTAAGTCATACCTCATTATACATATGAGGACTCATACAGTAGAGAAACTACATGACTGCAATGAATGTGGGAAATCCTTCAGTTTCAATTCACAACTCATTGTACACCAGAGAATTCACACAGGAGAAAATTTGTATTAATGCAGTGAATGTAGGAAAGCTTTTAATAGGAAAGATCAGCTCATTTCACATCTGAGAAATCATGCAGGAAAAAAACCTTATGGGTGCAGTGAATGTGGGAAGACCTTTAGTAGCAAGTCATACCTCATTATACACATGAGAACTCATTTGGGAGAAAAACCATATCAATGTACTAAATATGGAAAAGCCTTCATTTGGAAGTCACTACTCATTGTGCATGAATGAGCCCATGCAGGGGAAGATCTTTGTAAATGCAGTCAGTGTGAGAAATCCTTCAGTGGAAAGTTACGACTCATTGTACATCAAAGAATGCATGCAAAAGAGAAACCCTATGAATGCAGTGAACGTGAAAAAGGCATTCATTAGGAAATCCCAGCTCATTGTACATCACAGAACTCACTCAGGAGAGAAACCCTATGGATGTAATGATTGTGGAAAAACTTTCTCTCAGAAATCAATTCTCAGTGCACATCAGAGGACTCATACAGGAGAGAAACCCTGTAAATGCACTGAATGTGGGAAAGCCTTTTGTTAGAAGTCACAACTGATTATGCATCAGAGAATTCATGCAGGTGAGAGAGAAAAATTGATGAATTAAAAGTGAGAAACTTTCAAAAGTCTATTCAAATCGAAGAGAAACTATAAATGAAATCATCCCATGCACCGCAAAACTTATACTGAATGGAAACTTTATGAAGGCACAGCATGTGGAAGGGCATGCACAGAAAGCTGTTTTTACATCTAAAAAAACATCAGTGCATACACACAGAAACTCCATGAGTTTGGTGAACCCTACAAATATTCTCAGTTGTAGGTCATACCTTCCTATAATTTTATACAGCTGTGGAACCATATGAATGAAATGAATGTGGGACAGTCGGTTTTTAGATATGATAAACTTCTCTGAGGAAATTTCATAAATGAACATCAAATACACTCATTTGAAATTCATAACTTATTAAACAGGAACATTTATTAATGATAGAAAAATTCTACTCTTCATTGCAAAATTCTTAAATGCAACCTTTTGCTGGAATAAAATGACTTACTAAAATACCTGTTAGTAGTAGAAACCACATATATGTTATTTGTTTCCTTTATAAGTGGGTCCAGCAGATACCTCTTTTGTTATATACATCGACATGGTGTACATTTATTTTTAAAATATATGTATATTGATCCCTAGAGGAAGGGAGAGGGAGAGAGGGAAACAATGATGAGGGAGAATCATTGATTGGCTTCCTCCTGCATGCCCCCAACTGGGGATTGAGCCAGACTTCCTAGTTCATAGGTCAGTGCTCCACCACTGAGCCACACTGGCCAGACTGGTGTATATTTCTAACTGGTTAGATTATCCTGATGTCTTTAGGATTCCTAATTCCAGACTGTATGTGCACTCATGATGGGATCCTCATTCAAGGTGCAATGGCAAAGAATTGACCTTCTCACCTAAGTAGGCTGAAGTACTTGGGACTTCAAGTTTTTAATGGACGCCTACAGAAAATCAAGTTTGAGTTTTTTTGTGTTTTTTTTTTCCTGGCAGCATCTTCCAATTGTTAATTAGTTCTTTCTATATCAATTACCCAGTATAGCTTGAGGTACAGACAATTTTTTAAAAAATATATATTTTGTATTGATTTTTTACAGAGAAGAAGGGAGAGGGATAGAGAGTTAGAAACATCGATGAGGGAGATCGATCAGCTGCCTCCTGCACGCCCCCTAGTGGGGATGTGCCCACAACCAAGATACATGCCCTTGACCGGAATCGAACCTGGGGCCCTTCAATCCGCAGGCCGACGCTCTATCCACTGAGCCAAACCGGTTCGGCATGGTACAGACACTTTTAATTCTAGTTCAACTGCCTTTATTTTAGCTATGTGTCATTTTTGTAATACATGTAAGTAATTTTGAAATATGTATGTATAGTTGTAGAGTCAGGGTATTGGTAAATTATTCTACCAGTTGCTTATTTACAAAGTCTGTTTTCTTTACAACCTCACCAATTTGCTTATTGGACTGAGCATTAATCTGAAAGTGTTGGGTCCCTGGCAAATAGATTAGGACTGTCTTGGAGGAATATGAGGATTCAAAACTATAAAGATTTCTGAAGCACCCTCCACCTTGTACTCTTTACTTCAGGAGGGAATTCATCTCTTACCCCTCTAAAAGTTGTTTCTTCCTTAAAAGAGGTATTTAATAATTTCTGAATGACTAATCCTTATTGTATTCAGCTCATTATACAGGATACAATCTCAAGATACCTAGGATGAAGCATGATGATTCACAGAAGGGAAAGGAAAACTTGGATAAAGAAAGAATTTCAGATATTTGCTAAAGGATGCCCCAGAAATCCTTAGAAATACCATGACTGTTTTTTTGTCATTGATGTTCCACTGAAGATACACACACAGTAAGAATAAGCACCTAAGGGAAAGTCTACATTCAATTTACTATTACCCAGGGTCACTTAGAATTTAAAAGTTACTGTATTGTGTGATGCAAATCCACATACAACCAAGAGGATGGTAATCCAATCGTGTGGGAAAGGATAGTGCTGGATTTTGTTTGAAGCTTAAAAGCAATGGAAAACTTACCAGACAAATGAAACTTAACAGAATGATTCTATGTACAACCATTAAACAAAATTGAATTTCTGTTAAAAAATCTAATCTCTGGTGTGGGAATCTATCTAATCCTTCCAACCTAGCCTATAATAGTTCATAATTTTCAAAAAAGTTCAAGGAAAGTTAATTCCAACATTTAACAAGATTTCCCAGTAAATAGACGTTGGGGGAAGGAGAGAATGACTTGCAAGTCATATGAGCATAGATTTAAGAGTCCCAAATGGAATAACAAAATGCATGTGATGGTGTACATTTTTTAAAAGCCATGTCCCTGTGAAATGTAGCAGACCATTGGTAGTGTCCACTGCCACCAGAATCACTGGTTTTCCTAATGGCAGTGTCGGTTGCGGAAAAGCTACATTTCTCCATTTTCTTTGTAATGAAGTGTAATCATGCTGCTGAACTCCGAGTAATGATATGGCAGTACAAGTTGCTGAGCGGGTCTAATGGGAAGGTTCTTTAGCAGGAAAACAAACACCTGGGAAAAGCCCCCTAGGGTCTTTTCATCTTTCCTCTTCAATATGCAGCACATCATGGTTTGGGTTTCCGTAGCCATCCTAGCACCTGAATTCATCCTGAAGAGGGACGCCACCTCCAGAATGCAATGGAGAGTGACTGCCCATCTGATTTTGGTGGAGCTGCTATAGGCACCCTAGACTACCAACATCTGGGTATGTTTTACACAAAAGAGAAAACTGTATTTTTTGGGGGGAGGAGAGAGAATTGGTTCTCTTATATGCAGCTGAATGTGATCCTAATTGAAACACATTAGGATGTTTTGAAGACAATATCAGAAAATCATTTCGTGAAAATAACCACACTCCCAGATAAAAGAAAAGCCCTATGATTATCTCAACATGTACAGATAATTCAATTGATGGAATGTAATAATCATACATATTTTAAAATACGAATTAAGAAATGAACTCCTTTAACCCCTTCAAGAAGTATGTCATACTTAATGGTTAAACAATAGACATGCACCCTTAAATGTAGAAAATTACAAGGATGCTCATCACATTTATTGAACAACGTAATGGGAATTCTAGCCAAGGTGTGAAAACAAAAAGTTATAAGGAATTGTTGGTTATGTCAGAAACAGAAAATTTCCAATTTTTACAAATCAATCATGTTCTGGTTAAACCAACTGGGTAAGCTTCAAAAATAACAAAACAAAGAAACCCAAAGGAACAAAGCACTAGAAATGAAGGAACATTTTTTGTCAGCAAGGAGTTGGTGCTCTCATCCTGGGTGCAAGGGCAGGAAGAGGTGAGGTCCTGCGTAGACCAGTCGCCTTGGCTGGCGTGACGGCTTAGAAACCCAGAGAACCACACCACAGAGGCCTTTCCAGCCACTCTTTCCCCTGGGTCATCACGGGACCCTTAGGGATAGTGTGACAAGTATGACGTTGGCAGAGAAAGCGAAAAATGAAAGATTGGGCTGACTTCTAAGTGCAAGGCAGACGCTATCTGAGGGCAGGAAGGTGGACAGTGCAATAGTTGAAGGAAACCCATTCGAGGCGATCTGTACTTTTAGGCTGAGAGATGGGTAAAGGACCCAGAGAACACACCATCCCTTGCCTGTTGCTGCCCCACCCCCTCACGTATATGAAAACCACCCCAATGCACGTAGGGCTTTGCACTACAAAACATGGGAGAAGGCTCAGGAGAGCTAGGCCTTCACCAGGGCTGGGAGCTCAGAAGTCAGAACTGGAAAGCAAAGGGATCTCAGGTCCCAGAAAAGCACTCGGGCTGTGAGGCAGGGAGATCGAGCTCACGTTTTCCGAAAGCTGTTGGCTTCCCTGTGAGCACAAGCGGGTCGCAAACACGTCCAGGTTCAGGTCCCAGGCCCTGCTGAGGGAAACATCCTGCCCTCGGAATAGTTGAAAGGAGTGAACTAAATCTAACCTAAAACTGCAACAAAGTCCAGCAGTTTAAATACAGGTCAGACTGATTCTGTCTCACCCAGTCTCCTAATGTAACGCCTGACATTGAAAATATGTACCCTTTTCTGGAAATACCCAGGGCAAAGGAAGTTGTCAGAAATAGAGTCCTAATTCTAAAAGTACTATTTCACCAAAAATAAATCCTAACTCTGCCTGCACTTAACACTAAAGCTTAAAAATCACGAAAAAGTAGAGGTGAAAGAATTGCACTCTGGTGATAGTTGGACACATTTGTCCGTAACTTGGAGAACACATTTCAGCTGCCTGGATTGCTTCCAGATTTTTCACTTGAGCAAACGTTGAAGTGCTTGTCTTTGTGCCGAAGCCTTTTGCACAAGCTTGGAAGTCAGAGAACCTTCCTTCCAGTAACACCTGACCGCCCTTTGCTCTCTCCTGTCCAGACCGCCGTCCAGCGCGCTGGGCCCCACGGCTCTCTCGTTGTCACGGCACCGAGGACCGTGCCAAGAGGGGCCTTGGCATTCCGTGGTGCCCACCGCTGTGACCAGGGTCAGCGAGAGCCCCGGCGTGGGGGTGGGTGTCACTGGGCGCTGTCCCTGTGGCCTCGGGCTCTGGGTTTGAAAGGCGCGGTCACCCGAGGGGCAGGGAGCCAGTGTGGGTGCAGAAGGCAATCGGGGTGTCTGCCCCAAGCTGGGACCCGGGCAGGTTTTGCTCCAGGGTCCACCCACACCGGTAGCCTGGGGTCATCCAAGGGTCGCCGCTTCCTCCTGCCTCCGCCTCCGGGGCGT